TCCTTGGTCAATTCCTACTCTTCGTTTCAGCACCAACTCTCCGAAGGAAAGTGTAAAACGAACCCAGATAGCAGAAAATGCTAGGCGTTCGACATGCGGCCTCAGAGAACACAAATTTGTCCCAAGAAGCGACGGTAACATGTCTATCCGCCTATCAACGAGATAAACCGTAGTTCCTCGAGAAGCAGCTTCGGAATCCATCGGATTATCCGGTAAGACGAAGTGTGAAACGTCAGCGATATCTGTGGTTGATTGAGCCCGATGAACAAAGTCCGAATGAAATAGGTACGAACGGACACCAGCCTCGATGTTTCCATTCGGCAACGTTCTTGCATGTAACGCATCGTCGATATCCTGACAATCTAGCATACAATTAGCCAATATAAGCCAGCGCATATATGCACACTTACTTGGTGGATCTATGCTACAGATCAACAACTCCCTCAAGTCTTGCCGATCTCGCCATTCCGGACTGGTGTCGCTCTTCGGTGGTACGACCCATTTGTCACCCTCCTTCGGTAAACAATCCAAGATAGCCTTCCCAAATGGTCTATAAGGGACCTCGAATTCGAGTAATAGACTCTCTTGTTCTGCTTCTTTACTCTCCGCCTTTCCTAGAGCACGGACAAAGTGGCCTTCTGGGTACCGCGATGTGGTTTCCCATCGGTCAATTGTCACAAGAATCTTTTGACCGACGAGGGAGGGAGCCTGGCGGGTACGCAGACGGATTCTTGGAAGGAGGCGAGATACAGGAGTTGCGAAAACCGTTTGCTGGGACAGAGATGAGGTATTTGACGAGGTGAGGGACGTGCTGTCGATATGGCAAACATATCTATTTGGAGGTTAGCCTCGTGGATATGAAAGGAAAATCGCAACATACGCTCGCCAGTTTCTCTTGATCACACCTACGACACGACCAGTTGGCTGCTTTTCTGCAGTTCGTTTCTCGGAGAGGACGACTTTGGTTTCTTTAGTGTGAACTTCGTCGTCTTCCTCATTTTCAGAATCCTCGGCGTCGTCGTTTTTTAGAGTAGCTGTAAAGTTTCTGTCAGCACAACCGCGCGTGCTATCGAAGGAAAAACGAACCATCTTGATCCACAACCTCATCCGTGGGCGCCTTCCATTCACTCTCGTCAAAGATCTCGATCACGACAAAGTCCCCTTGAACCGCTCGATTCATATTTTCACGACCGACCAACAAGATAGGTCGCGTAAACGCAGATACCGAAACGTTTCCCTGGGAGGGCACATGATTAACTCTCAATTAAGAACCAAAAGAAAAGGTTCTATACCTCCAGGTAGTTATATGCACTTGCATTGAAGTATCCTTGATAAAGTTGACTTGCCTTGATGCCTGCTTGCAGTGCTGACGTCGGGAGATACTGCGCAATGTCAAAATGTGCCCAGAAACATACAGAGATAACTCAAACCTCGGGATAGCGGGCCTGACGACCTGCAACTGCTCTTGTCGGTTCGATTTGTCCGGAACCATCAGCAGCCAACACGTCCAACAATATTCCGGCTTCCTTCATATCCTTCACGTACTGACGCACTAGGTAGATTCAGATGTTTGCAATGTCGAACACAACGTATGAGCACGTACCGGATGCACAAATCAACCCTGCTTCTTCCGCTTTCTGACGATTTGCAACGTCTTGCGTGAGGAGAACGACTGTTGGTAGGATGGGTGTGGGTCGACCTCGTATTGGTGGCCTCGCCACGCTTATATGCGAGTTATACCATTGAGTTGCCCTACGAATTCCTGTTATAAAAGTAAGCTCAAGTTCACTCGTGGAAGTAAACGGACCTCGATCATTGCGATCATTCGGCGTTTCTCCCTCTTCCCTCACAATCGCTGTTTCTCTACCAGTACGTTCAGCCCCAGGAACCATAGCCGAGGATAGTCATACGCACGACTGAAATTCGTTATAAAATATCCAAACGTGCTTCCCATCAGCATTTGTGAGTGCCTTGAGACGATTATGAAGCGGGAGAGAACGGTGCCGGACTTCTTCCAGAACCGTCTGCAGCAGGATTATTGGAGGGTTAAATTTGTCGTGTTCGAAGAGGTCCATCTACAACATACGCATCCTAGTCAACATTTGGCATAAGGAAAGGGAAAAATGGTCAAGACACACCTGGTTCAAGAAAACATTCGTATCGGGGAGCAAGAAATGACCATTTGGATAGGTTGGGTGATTCAAGGCTCCCGGATAGGGTAGACTACCCTCCGAAGAATCTCTGCATGAGCTACAGTTCTCTATTCCACAGCCAACATCATCTCGGAGATATCTCTCGCGCAGAACTGAAAAATAATCATCATAAATCGTAAGCGTTATCGAGTACGAGGGCCTGAGAGGGGTTCGAACCTTTTATAACTTTGCCTCGAGCGGTCTTTTTGAAGAATTTGCGTTGAGTCACAACAGCCTCGGTGCGAGAACGCTTTTGAATGAAGATGTCGTCGGTCATCGACGTCGTGGGCAGGGACCGTGTCCTCAGGCTCTGTATGGTCGAGTTTGCTCAACCGCGGTGAGGGACCGCAGCACTTCTCGATCGACGTCAGCAATCTCAAAGCTGCAAACGAACTGACTGCACACAATGTTCAGTACGCTCAGTATGCACCCAGCAAATGATCACAAATTCAGGGTAAAAAGAATAATAGAACAGCTAGCACACCGAGAGGGATTCGAACCCTCGCCTCGTGTGGTTAACGGATTCATTTACCCTATGGGATATACACAAGTATGATTCCACTTCAAGCTTCACAACCAGTGTGGACGAAGGACCTTTGCATGTATATTGCTCGAGTCGCCTGCAGCTGTCCACTCTCCGGAAGCCCTCCCTTCATATATCTCGAACGCAAACAAAATCATGGTGAAGTTACTGTAGCCTCACCACGTAGAACGTTCCATCCCACCGTGGAGGCGACTCCTCACCAAACCTGATGTCTCTGATGTTGTACAAGGGTTTTCTTTGCAGTCCCGACATACGGATATACGAACCCTTGCTTGCTGGAGCTGCGGCCTCTGATCGACGTCATGTTCAGGGTGCTTAGCCAACCATCGAAGAATAGACGAAATTATGGAGCTGAACAAACAAAACAACGCAGGTAAGTGCTTGTAATTACGTTCAAAATGATATCTTTCTGAAGAGGCTAGTGGTGCTCGTTGGGTGCTCGTGTCTTTGGTTGACATGAATAGGATCCGGGTCGACGATGTAAACACCAAATCCTATCAGATCCCGTCAAAGAAATGAATGGTGGAGTAGCTAGACGAATTGGCCAGCCTATTGTAGGTTGGTGCTTGTAGCCACGTTCAAGATGATCGACTTCTGACGAAACCCACACCAATGGTGTTTTATGTCCTTTTTTGACTAGAACAGGACCCGACTCGACGACGGACACGCCAGCCTCCGTCATCGATCGAATATCAATCTCAACATCGAAGTGCGTCGCTGTGTGGGGAGGACCCTTCGCTTCTTGCAATTCGGCTGCGCTCAAAGTGGAGCCACGAGCGAATAAGCGCCCACCATCACCGAGGGTCTTATTGCACGGTCCTGGCCTTAGAGCGCGTCCAAACTTCACTTCCAGGATTCTGCCGCTGTTGTAACCGCATCGTTCACCAGTCATCATACTCAGAGTGGGCTTTAAGCGCCACCTCACCGTACTACGGGAGCAAATCCACTTAAAGGATGTATTTTCCTCGCTCCGCCAGTGGATTTTATTCCTCGTCAGTCATGATGTCGACGAATTCGATGGCTCCACCCCATGCACCCCAAAACCAACGGCCGCGCTGATGACTGGCACCTCCCTGGAACCAAAGGTCTCCAAACTGACCTGTCGATGCCGATTGTTAGAATAAGTCCCTTCGCCAAAAAGAAGCAACAGGCGCTCCGCTCGAATGTATTTCTCCCAACAGGTTGGTCGGAGACTGTGACTGTTCTCGAGACTCGGATGATCAGATCACCGCATGTTTTATTCAATTTCCTTCATTCCGAAATTGATTTTCAAATAGATATCCTGGTAATATTTTTGAGGAATATCCAGGTGGTATAAAAGCCACCCCCCCTCTTCTCACTTCGTCAGTCGAATAACTCGCACTTGTTCAGCTTCTCCAGCTCTTCGCCGTCGAATCCTCGCTCTCATCTCTCTCACCGTCATCATGATCTCCAAGATTATCTTCGCCATCATCTCTTTCTTCGCCTTCTTCCAAATCGCTATTGCCGTCCCTACCCCCGGCGGCGGCGGCGGTAGCAGCAGCTCTACTAGCCAATGCAACACCGGCGAGGTCCAGTGCTGCAACAGTGTGCAGAGTGCTGATGACGACGGAAGCCAGGGCCTTACCGGTCTTCTTGGGATCCTCGGCCTTGGCGATATCACTGGTCAAGTTGGCTTGAACTGCAGCCCACTCAGCGTCATCGGCGTTGGTGGTAACTCTTGGTTAGTTCTTCCCATTGAACGTCTGGTTCAGATCAGCTGATATTGGCTCTCAGCTCTAGCCAACCCGTCTGCTGCGAGAACAATCAATTCAGTTTGTGGACCCTCTTCAACTTGTGTTCGTCGCTGACTTCTCTCCTCTAGATGGTCTCATCAATGTCGGGTGCACCCCCATCAACGTCAACGCCTAAACGTAGCGCCTCTTGTGCCCCCTTGGCTGCGCTTGGACCGGCTTGGCTTTTGCAGAACTTTATCGTTTCATGATCTTGTGTGTTGGGACAATTTCGTCTAGCCTTGTCTGTTCTTGTTCTGAGAAAATTGTGGCGAAAATAGTTAATTTGTAGTAGGAGATGTTCTTTTCATCCCTTCCAAAGCCATTGTGTCCGCCTTCTGCCTGATTGCTCTTCGTGCGCGTCTGACCTTTACGAAGCGGGGGTCCCTCATTCACGGAGTCGATATGATTCCAGCCTTCGAATCAACGAAAAGATTGTGCTACGAGTTCGCAAGTGTTAGGAGCGTCGCCTCGGACAGATATTGGAAGCGCGCACCATCTAAAAAGCTAATTAACACTGGGAGGGATTCGAACCTTCGACTCTTGGGACCGAGGGTACACCAATTGTGATTCCACTTCACCACCAGTGTCCCTCGAACACAAAAAACATGCTTACACCGGGAGGGATTCGAACCCCCGTCTCTGATCACGTTTGCTTAGAGCAAGACTGACAGTATGTTATCCACTTCACCACCAGTGTCCATCAAATTTCTACCAATGGCTGAAGCCTCCGATTTGAGGTGGGATTTGTCCAGGGGCTCAGGGGCTCAGGCCCATTCTTTCGGGAAAAGTTTGGGAAAAGTCGTCGAAATTACATTGGAAGGGATTCGAACCCTTGCGTCTTATTAATCTTATCAGCAATGATATCCTGCAATGAGGCAGCGGAAAAGTTGTCCGTCACGTCAAAAAAAATACCAGGCGTTGGTAATCTGTTTGTATCTGCCCTCGGAGCCAAACAACTTCGATTTCTGTTCGAACGTTGGCGGCTGGGACTTGGGACTGTCCATTCTGAACTCTGCATCCCACTCTGCCTCAATATCATTCTAAATCTAGGATTCTTCGACGTGAATCGCACCAGGCCAACCGTGTTATGCACAAGCATATAACTCTGCGAAGTACGACGTTGCCGATTCACTCCTTTTCTGCTCTCTCCATACCCATTTCCCTGCCCGCAATAGGAATATATTCAAACATATCTCAAGGCACTGCCGCATCGACCTTCGTACCTGTGGCGCGGTTCTGGGCTCACATACGCCTTATCTTTTCCGGGACGTGGCACTCCGGGTTGTAAACAGACCATCTCAACGACGGCTGCTCCGAGATAAAAGGAAATTAACTCTGTTCTAAGGTATGATGCGACATACTGTGAGGGATTCGAATCCTCTACTCTACTCCACGAATCATATATCAGGCAAATGTGATCGCACTTCGAAGCCTGCGCCATACCCAAAAACGAAGTCGATATGGACGGATGAACGCCGGGAAGGATTCGAACCTTCGACTCTTGGCAGGACCGCAGGTCTACTGCTCATTTGTGATTCCACTTCACCACCAGCGTCCACTGACGACAAAAGCCATGCCCTACGACAATGGAAGAGTTTTGGCCCCCAAATCTGTTTCTGTCGATCTGAGATAAGAGTATTAGTATGTTGTCCACGTCGTCACATTACGGCTGAGGAGCGTATCCCCAATCACGGGAATAATTCGACCTGAAAGTCCAGGAAAAGGAAGCGAGGCAGTCTTCTACAGTATGAGGTCGCAAGAGTGTTAGCACCAGTGTTGCTTGAAGGGGCGCGCTATTGAATAAATACAACGAAACAGCATGAACACTGGGAAGGATTCGAACCTCCGACTGTTGGTTGTACACTGGCATGCAAGCGCACATTCCGGCTAATTGTAGATACATCTCGCCTCCATCGTACGCGTTCGACACAAAAAAGTATATTCACACTAGGAGGGATTCGAACCCCCGTCTCTGATCATGTTCGCTCAGAAGTTACACTTGATAGCAAGACTGACAGTGATTACAACATCAGAAAGAAATGCGCCATTAACCGCGACGAACCCGCTGAGAACCACGGGAAGTGCTGCAGTATTTCAAAGTTTCCATTCTGGTTTCGCAAGTGGGACTCAACACACCTCAGTTCGAAGAACACGTCATACCTAAAAAGGTGGATCATCTCAACGCAATGCGAACGCTGGGAAGGATTCGAACCTTCGCCAATTAATTGTGATGCCACTTCACCACCAGCGTCCACCAGAATTCGGTTCGAAGCCCGCATCATCTAAAAAGAGCCAACAACTTAAGACGAGATGAACACTGGGAAGGATTCGAACCCTCGACTTTGCATTCGAGAGTACACTCTCGCATGGATTGTGATTCCACTTCACCACCAGTGTCCCCTGGACACATGCTCACACTGGGAGGGATTCGAACCCCCGTCTATGATCATGTTTGCGTGAAAGTTAGATTCGAATCCACCAATAAGTATGGTAAAGCCTCCTATGAAATGGGATGGATTTGTCCAGGGGCTCAGGGACTACACCTTTCTTTCGGAAAAAGTCAAGAAAATTGAGGACAGTGAGCTGAGTACACTGAAGGGGATTCGAACCCTTGCCTCTTATCAGCAATGAGGTCCAAGACGCCATGATTGTAAGTGTGATTCCACTTCACCATCAGTGTAATATAAAATGGGTGCACAGAAGTGCTTGGTTATCCAGTCACAACCCTCGATGCAAGCAACACTAAAATTTTAATTGGAATCACATGCACGAACATCGAACTTGAAGTAAATCGGACTCTTGCTTTGCGAACAGTTTCTCCAAAATATACAGCATCCACGGGAGGGGATCCGAACGCCCGATTCCTCAGAATTGTCCAAGTTGTGATCCCACTTCACCACCCTTGCATCCATGGTCTCGTCCAGGGTTCGTCAAGGAAGCAGCCCCGGTTACTTGTTAATGCTCGGGAAGATTCGAACCCCTGCTTTCAATCAGGTTGACCGTCCCGCTGTTCCTGGCTAGCACGGCCACAAGACCTTGTCTTGGATGATCAGATACCCAAGATCTAACCGCGATGATGCCAAGCCGAGATTGAGAGCAGCATGTTCTTGGGGTCCGTCCCGGCCCGGCCGGGCCACCTTCATATCCGTTCTAGACCCCGCCGCTCGCGACTTGCGATGAACTTCAAATTCAAAGCCTTGGACACGCCCATCGCGCGTTGGCATCAACTACACGAAAACCCGAGACCGTGCTCGTGCATGATGCTTTTGTTCGTTGATCTCCATTATTCAGGTTTCCATTTCACTCCATCGCAAACGCATCTGTTGTCTAACTTGGGGGCCTGCCTTCGCCTGCTACTTCCTTCAACAGCTGAAAGATCTTGACAGAAGGTCCGGTACAACTGTCACCGGTCGGTCACCGGTCACCATTCGAGAACCCGCACAAGAACGGATTCCTTATGTCTCTCTAGCCCGGCGCCAACTCTGGTATGCTGGATTTTGTGAAACCGACTGTGCTTATCGATGTCGTATGTACTTCAGCCTCAGAGAGGGTTATCGCATGACGCAAATGTGAACAGCTGCAGTCGGGGCTCGCGGTCGTTCTGGTATTGCTTCTGGCATTACACCACCTATGCCGTTGTCTTCAGCCATGATAACCACGGAGATTCCACGGATGAGGTCTCCATCATCTCACCGAAGCCAACTTGGGGTCAAACTGCCGATTAAGACGCTAATGAAAAGTTCAAGCAGCTCTCGGAACCCTTACACAGGCTGTGCACACGTCCTTCATTTCACAAAGTCTTTGGACCGAGAGTCCCATGGTCAAAGACCTCAGGGTCTTGAGCTCGTAAACATTACACCACCGAGTTACATGATAAAGCCGCCGGTCGATGGTGCACTGTATTCCATAGCAAAGTCTCGAGAAATGGCAGAAACGATTTACGCAAATGCTACTAGTATGGACGAGAGCAGATATTCGTCTTTCGCTTAGGCCGACACTAACGGCTAAGGCATTGAGTCGTGCTCTGATGCCACAATTTTGGGTTCAACTCACCATTCAATACGCAAAAACTTGTCATTTTACCGACCTTTCACCATTGAAAAATGAAAATTAGCTAAACAAATTCGTGATGCGAGGGAAGGGATTCGAACCCTTGTCACTCTCAGCCCGGAAATAACCTTCCGAAGAAGATATCCGTGGCGTTAACTGAGTGTGCTTTCCACTACACCACCGTCGCATTGTCAGTGTCCAATCCGAGATTTCAGAAAATCCTTTCGTTTGTGGCTGTCAGGGATTCGAACCCGTACTTCAAACAAACACTATTTTGTTCAAGCCCGCTACGGCTATGTACGCTGTGAGAAAGACCTAGGTGCAAAATTGGCGCTCGTGGCCATACGTCATCGGATCCGACTTCGATTATCTAACCGAGGCCAAGTTGCGAGAGCCGATCAGGACGTAGGCAGTTCACTTTCGAAGTATTGCAAGCACAACGTTGCCGCGAAGTTCTCACCTACCCTTGCACAGGTTGTGCATGCTTGCATATCCGAATGCCTACGAACCCTCGGTCCGACGGTACGAAGCCGTTGAATGGGCAAACCCGCTTCGAATGTGTGTTGTTTTTTGTTAAAGTTCAGTTTCAGAGTGATTTGGCGACCATTATAGGCTCTAACAGATCGCTTTCTGCCGGCATCACCGCAGCGCTAATAACATTCCCGTGGACTTCACACTGCCAGTGCCATGTGTTCGATTCGAAGGCTCAGCCACACCAGTTCTGGAATGACATACCATACGTCCGAGTGCCTATCCTGAAGTAGTTCAAGGGCACCAGGCTAGGTCATTGCCTCGGTTCCTGACTTCGGTTATAAGTACTCCTCACGAGAGTCGGAAAGCCAACCATATGTCGGCGGCTACTTCAAGTCCTTATCCCGCAGCTGGACTGTCGTTGGATAACACATTGGGTGCTGCATTCGTCGGTGTGATCTTCGCTTCCATGTAGAGTCCTATCACCTGCGTATGTCCTCCTAGATCTAACACGTGTCGTGCGTCCAGCTTGTTTGGGGTCACGAACTTGCAGGTCTTCATCTATTTCCATCAATATCCCAAGGATTCGCGATTTCAAAAGGCCTCGGTGAGTCAAAATTTCATTTAAAGTATCGATAATTGGAGACGAGACTAGTTTAGGTTGCTACCCTTTGGTATGCGCGCCTTTTCTTTGGGTCGTGTGGTGGGAACACTCACAGAGTCTTAGGGTGTTAGACGCTGCGCATCTCGCACTCATCGTTCATGGAGTTTACCATTACGCCGTCGCAGGATTTGGGGACTTCTCTGGGCTTGATAATGCCGTCTGGTGCGTAACTCCCAGCCCGTTGTTAACCCGCTCCCGTTGAAGTCGCAATTTTTATTATACATATAGGTCTCTCAAGGTAAAAGTCTTTAAATATAGTCATACCCTCCGGCTACTGACCTATACACGGAATTCTTTCGTCCTAGGTCCAGTCCCCAGTCACCGTAAGCTTTCGGACACTATTTTTGTATTCTAATTTAAGACGTGTCTAGGTACTCACAATCGTGATGGTCCAATGGTTAGTCGTTATTCTTCGGGGATATGATCATCCCGATTTACTCTTCACCTTAAAGTCTATACGTCCATCGTATCTGGATATGTAAGTCCGTCTTCGGCTTGCTCACGTCTTGCGGTAACCCAATCGATAGTGGGCCAAGACGCGCACAGATGGCTATCATATCTTGCAGTAAGTCAGTCAAATCTCTCAGTGTGCGTCGTGCTAAATAATACATATGACAGGCTTTTATCGTCGTTTGTGGTTCTAGTGAGTTCTCATTTCCTCTGGCCATAGCATCGTCTCAAAGACCACCACGTGCCAGGTGTCGGAGTCGGTAAGCACCAATACCCTTCACATCACAGGATCGCTCACTCATCTGTCTGCCAGCCCTCGCATACGAATCGTGAGTGCTTGGATCATTATCCTAACGTCCGGATTCTCAATCATCCTATGAAGTATGATACTTCAACGGTTTTCCCAGCTTGAGAGTATGGGGGTACGTCTCAACTTCATACGGCATTGTGAGCCTGCTGAAATCTGACTCTTCTGGCGTTCGTTAGTGGGCGATCATTGCCGGCTTCGCTATCGCAACGTTTATCGACTTCATAATCTCAGCCATCGTTTGCTTCTACCTACAACGGGGTCGATCTGGGTTTTCCGAGTGAGTGATTCCGTCTTCTTTTTTACGCCACGGCATTTTCTGACCCGACCTCCACTATCATCTCCGGTTTCTTACACAAAAATAGAACAGATTCGAAAATAGTCATCCTTATGCGATACATAGCGGCCTCAGGCTTGGCGACGAGGTACGTTCAGTACATTAGGAGTTAGAGACAGGGAACTGATGATCTCATTGCAGTTTGTGCTCGATGGGAGGCTTGATTGCTGTTAGTCGCATTTATCTCCCAGTCCAACCCAATGCTAACACTTTTTTAGTTCGTTCTTTCCCCGCGTACATTCTTATTCTTTGGGCTGGAGTTCCTTGTTGAGAAGCGTAAGTCTCCTCTCACGCATTGCAGCGTGACTTCTAGACTAACTTCAACGAAGTCTACGTCAACAGTTTCCTCGCAATGTGCGTTAGTTTCCTGACTAGTAATCATTTCGATCTCATTGACCTGCTTATAGGCTCAACGCCAGAAACAGCATACGTAACACAAGACTATCTATCAGCGACATCATCGACATAGAGGCGGCACTTGCCTCTCGTCGTATCACAATACCATCAGATGTACTTCAGGCGGCTCTCAAAGACTTAAACAAAGTAAGGACTCGACTCCTGAAATGGAAATGCTTTTCGCTGACGCAGCAACACCAGAACGTACAGGGGGACATTATCTCGACTTCTCCAATCAATGCAAATACTAGGCCATCCTTTCCCCAAATACCCTCACGATCCACTGCGAAACACCTCAGTCTACCCGTAATGAGTTCCAATGTCCCCTTCAGTAGCTCGCCCACATGTTCTCGGCTGTGATATGATACCCCATTGTGCGGGACACAGACAATAGGTTTGCTGGAGATGGACCATCTCATACTGTATCGATAGCCCTTACTTATGATATCCTTTGGGACTTGTTCTCGGGACAGTACTTAATGACAATTTGACGCCGTAGTTTATTCATCCACACTAATTATATGTATTGTATTGTAGTTGTATTTTTAATTACTGTACTGTAGACGTTTAGTGTAATGCATTCAGGCACACCTTAGATTCGCCTGGGAAACGATTCTGGCCGAACTTGATGAGGAGCATGACGGTTGGGAAGGCTGGGACGCTTTTGCTTTCTCTCGTCGAACCACCAAAGAATATCGGCCAGCCCAGATCCATATTGGTTCATCGGTACGGTGCATAATCTTCGCTGTAGGATGGAGATGAGTGTTGTGGTTTGTCCTTCTCGTTATGAGCGCCTCCTTCCACGACGAGCGCTTGATATGAGTTAGTATGTATTTCGTGGGATAATCAATCCATTTTACCGAGACTTCTCGATGACCTTGACCAGGACAATCTAACGAATACGCTAGACCTTGAGGCGACAACATTCACATGCTCAAGAACTCGACAATCTTATCGGATAAGTAATTCGCTTGTATCAAGGCACGCGTTTCAAGTTCAACCACTGCTGGTCCCGTAAACTCCTCCTCAACCGCTCGCTACATAGTCGAATTCAGAGTCTCATTGTACGGTAAATCACGAGCTCAAAGGGGCTATGTTATCTGTTATCAAGACCCTTCAAGACCCCAAAACCCTAACTGATAGCTCCATTCAAGGTATGAATCAGATTTGCTTCCACCTTACATTCCCAGCAATCTAACAACTCAACAAAACTCTTATCTCAATGGACGCACATGCGTGCTTCTAGCACGCGGTCCTCCTTTCCGTATACGCCTTCCCCAATCCGGTCAACAAGACCGCTCAAAAACGAAGATCATTTGATCCAGGCCCGAAGTTCATGATCAATTAATCATGACAACTTACGACTGTGGTACGACGCATGCGCCTGCTCATTTGGCGCTTATAGGCCGGGTATGTATCCTTGACCAGTATCCACCTGGTCGGTACAGTATTGTTGCGGTTGGTGTTCCAGTCACCAAGACATACCCGAACGGGTACATCGAGCTCATTGCCCGAGATCTTCCGCCACAGCGTTCGCGTCATTTCCGTCATCGGAGTGGCTTGTTGGCTGACAGCGATCGACTTTCGCTCATCTTTCCTTTTTTCCGTGCAGGACCCCCACCCTCCTCTTTTCCTTTGTTCCCTTCAAGTTCGAAACACCTTCGCACCTCCCCAATTGCTGAAGAATCATAGACGCCATGTCACCACACAACGCCCTCGAAGCAATTCGACAATCTGGAATTGTAATAGCCTCCGATACAGCAGAATATAAACGTGAGTTGCAAATATCACCTTGATAACGTCCCCGCCCAAGTTACCGTATCTTGACTTGACCAGGTATCGCCAAATTTCATCCAATAGACGCCACTTCCAACCCTTCTCTCGTACTCGCCGCCCTCTCCAAACGCGAATATGCCCACTTCCTCGACAACGCCGTCACTTATGCTTGCAAGTCCTTACCGAACGGGACGACAGAAGAGCAGACCTCGTTGGCCTTAGATTATCTAGTACGCCCCCCTCGCTCTAATGCGTTGTCCATTCTTTGACCCTGCTCAGCTCGTCCAAATTGGCATCCAAATCCTCAACATCATCCCAGGACGCGTTTCCATCTCTGTCGATCCACGATTGGCTCACAATTATGACGCAATACTCGCAAAGGTGAGCTCATAATTCTTTGCTGCCCGATCGCCATCATCCGATATGCTCCAACCCGAATTGTCCTTTGGTCTGACAATTTCGTTGACTCACCCACTTCCCAAAGGCTCATTCCCTCATATCCTTATTCGAAAAATTCGATATCTCCCGTCATCGAATCCTCATAAAAATCCCCGCAACCTATCCTGGCATCCTCGCAGCCCGCACTCTAGAATCCACCGCAGAAATCAATGGTGGTCCCATCCATACAAACATCACTCTGATTTTTGGCCTCGTCCAAGCTCTCGCATGCGCCCAGGCAGGAGTTTCCGTCCTTTCCCCATTCATAGGCCGAGTTCGTGACTGGTGGGTAGCTCAGGAAGCCCACTTAAACGTAAACGGAACCAACACCTCAGCCGTCCCTACTTC